GAAGGAAGGAAGGAAGGAAGGAAGGAATGATGGATGCAAGTAAGGATGGAAGTAAGGAAGGATGGATGGATGGATGGACGTATGCTACATTTCAGACTGTAGAAGGTGTCTGTTAGTATATTTGTCCTCTTCTTCTTTTCACCAGTCTTCCTTACTTCCCTCCATCAGTCTAGCCTTGCAGAAGTTAGGGTGACAGATTTACAGCTGCTTCTCATCTCTTGCTAGATAGAGTGTGTAGCTATGGTCTGCGAGCCACTTCGTTGATTAAACCCACTAGGAAGTGAGGGCCAATAAATAACCTTTCCAGATCTGCAAGAGGTGCATTTCTCTGACTGGTGAGCGGCCTTAAGGCACAGGTCCAGTCCTGCTTCAGTCCCAGTGATTTGGCAAAATAAGAAGCAGTTGGCACATTAGAAGCACTGAAATTGATAATGTATAAAAGGAGAGAAGAAAGCTCCATCATAGTGACAGAAAACAGCACAGATGGAAGCTGCTAGTGGGCTGGCAAAGAAACAACTGAAAAATTCTTACTCAGGTCTGCTAACTTTCAGCCAATAGGGTTGCTAGACCTTTGGTTACAGGTATAGCCCTTCTGAAAGCCACTGGCCTGTGCGTCAACAGTTTGAGACTGACCCAAATCACGTTGCAGCTGAGACAAAAGCAGGAGCTGATGAGCCACAGTCAAACCAAGACCGTCAGAATCCACAACTTTATCTTTCAAAGACGAAAAGTAAGACTGTAAAAGCATAAATTGTTGAACCTTCTCATGGCGTCTGCTGCTACTTCCTTTGTTACCATGACTGTCTAAAACCAAACTTTGGTAGGCGGGCACTGGGCGTCGCTTCCCCCAATCAGTTCGGAAGGTTCTGCTGAACCTCCATCTTTTCACTAAACAGTGAGGGATTGCATCCGAGTCAAAGAGTCGATGCAATCAACTGATTTTCCTTAGATAGAAAACTTTGAATCAATCTGACTGTATGATCTGGTTGAACTGTAAAGTGCCTGGAGATGACATGTGTTGGGAATTGGTGCTATATAATAAATGTGGTTAACTTATCAAAGGTATGAAGCTAAAAGGCCTGCTTCCCTTTTCTTCGATGCATCCTGCACATTTCAACCTCCTTTGCCCAGTTCAGCAGGAAGCACGCAGCATATTTGGCCTACCCCATCTGCTGTGAAAGAGCACAATGAAGTGTCTGTGTGCCTCTGGTCAATGTCCTCTGTTCCCCCCCCCCCTCCACTCCCAAAGTCTCTTCCCTTCAGGCCACAGATGTTCCCTGTGCCATCCCACTGAAACTCCTCCGGACAAGACTCTGTTCTGTGTTCTCCGCTGGTGAAAAGCCACAAAACTCTGCAAGCCCAGCATGGGATCCGGTGCATTCATGCAGACTTTTTTTTTTTTTTTTTTGGATGTTTGTTACTCTTCTATCATGCATGAATCAGAGCGTGATGTAAGCGGACAGAGGCTGTAGTCATATGATTAACGCGGACCACCAAGATGATTGTGAATTCATCACCAAGCAGAAGGAAGTTGTTTTTCAGATTGATTTCCGCTTTGCGGACATTTTTAGTTTTTAATCGTCAGCCTGTTTACAAAGAAATACAGAAATGACACACTGTACCTTCCTCTTTCGCTGGCAAGAGCATCGATCTCATCAAAGAAGACGATGGATGGAGAGACGGCCCTCGCCTTCCGAAACACCTGTGGGAAGCGTCAGCAGCAGAGGAAGAGGGAGAAACAGAAACAGGACGAATGTTTTTACGGGACGGATGAATCATCTGAGACACAAACATTCAGAGGAAATACAGCAGTTATTAAAACACAAAATCACAGCGCAGGTTTTCCTTCTGTTACGTCAAAACTAAACCTCCGTCAGAGCTCTGCCATTCAGCTCGGGAACACAGAGATCAGGGGGGATTTGGGTTTATGACATTTAAGAAAAACACTGTGTTCCACATTTTAGCAGGTTAGGTCCACAAAAGTTTATGTGACTGACGTTTTTCTTCTTTTTACAAACTAAAATCTTAAAAGTGCATTTATGTTACGCCTCTTTCACTCTGATTCCACATAATAAAATCCAATGCAAAGTCAATTCATCTAGATATTAAATAACTTCCTTTAATCTGAGTTTAAATTCCTTTGTTTTGTGAAGGCCTCAGAGGCTAACTGGAGAACATCAATGAACAAAAAGCATTCAGGGGCAGAAAGGCCGGATGGGAAGCTGTGGTGACATTTTGCATATAAACCAAAACCCAAAGCTTTGAATATATAATTGAGCTCCGTTCAGTTTATCATATATTATTATAATATACCTCCCCAGAAACGGCTTCTGCCATGGGAACCAAAATCCTTGAGCTCAGATAAAATTTTGTTGTTTTTATTTTTGTTTGTTTTTTGAGCAATAAACTAAACTTTTTTATTATTTTCACAGGAAATCCAAGTGAAAAAGCTCAGTCTGCTTGTCAAGAAACAATACTGGATGTTTGTGATCTTCACCATTGCAACATTAAATGTTAAAGGTATAGTGGAGGATATTCTTTTTCTGGGTGGATCATCTAACTAAGGCTACGTTCACACTGCAGGCCTTGATGCTCAGTTCCGATTTTTTTGTGAAATCCGATTTTTTTTCAATATTCCCGTTCATATTTCCAAATATATGTGACTTGTGTGTGATCTCCTTTGTGAACTGCAGTCATACAACCCAAGTGTCCGGCATGCGCAGTAGAGGACACGATGACATCACAGGCCAGCGTGCTCTATGTTTACGGAAGTGAACATGGATGTTAATGTCTTTTCCAACCATAAAAACTCAATCTTTTTACATGGTTAAACATAAATGCTGCTCTCCACATCATCATCTACCATGGTTGTTGTTTTTCTTGCCACTTCTGCATAGCAAGACGCAGAATAGTGACATTTGTTTGGTATTAATGACGTTCAGGTTGGATGAATCAGACCTGGCCGTTCAGACGCAGGTCACATTTGAAAGGATCAGATTTGTATCGGATTCAGGACCACATAGCCAAGTGGCCTGGGTCGCATTGGAAAAAATCAGATCTGTGTTGTTCAGACTGCCATGAAAAGATCAAATCCAGGTCGCATAGAGGTCAAAAATTCGGATTTGGGTCACTTCAGGCTGCAATGTTAACGTAGCCTAAGTGGTTCTCCTAATTGTCAATCATTTTGGTGATGTGTTACGTAAGACCGTCATACATGCTCGTCCCCATTTTCACTTATCAGTGGTGAGTCTGACATAGTGGAAAAATTGCAAATCTTCTTTTGGAGAGTAAGCTTCTATGAGCGATGCAAACAGCAACTTTTAAACAGCGCACACGGGGAGAAATGGGCTGGTGCACGCTCTTGCACGTGTTTAAAAGGTGTTTCCACTCCAGGGTTGTGCATGGGCTTTTTTTCTCTAAAGTGGAGAGGGCGTTTTTTTTTTTCTTCAAAGATTTGCGAAAATCCTCCATTATACCTTTAAATTTAAAAAAAATATCACTCTTTGCACTGTTCCTACTCATTTTAGAATAATTCTAGCATGTTAGGATCTATCTTTAGATCCCATGAAGCAACAAATACGCTAGACGTCTACAGAAACTCTGGAGGAGCTGCAGAGCTTCAGTTGTCATCTTTTTTCTTCCAAATCCCGACAACGCATGAAATCCCATAAAAGTCATTATAGTCTTTGGTTTTAGGATAACGAGTTGCACAGAAAAGGTCCCAGTAAGGAAAGTTTAATGATCTTACCTCTCGAACTGCTCTTTCAGACTCCCCAACATACTTGCTCAGTAATTCTGGACCCTAAAAGAAAGATACATGTAAAACAGGACAGAGTTAACAAGGCTACTACAGAAAGAGCACTACGTTTGACTAATTTTAAGAATCTAATATTCTTCTAAATTAGTCAAAATCTTTTTCATAGTATTCTAACAGACAAAGTCCATCAGTAAAGTTTTCAATGACAGCAAAAGCATCTGCTCCTCCAAACATAAAATGGTGATAACTCTGAGCTGCGGCACAGCAGGACATCTTTTGTCCAATTTGTGTGAAATTCTTTCTATGCTCCCTGTACGCTGTGTACCGTTTCATGTTTGTATGTAACACATGTGGCTCACTTGGCAAAGATGCACATTTTCCACTCCGTGAGCATTAAAGTAGCACATCTGCTCGCACCATGGAGCAACTTTTCCTGTTATGAATGCATTCAGGCACATCAAATAGAAAAGCTGATCTTTAGGAAGATCTAAGGCATGGAACAGAGGTTTGGGCTCACAACAGCTTTGTAAATATCTGTGCAACCTCCGGCCATATTTGTCAAGGCTATTGCTGGATTTTATATATCAACTTTGGAGCTTTCTTTTTTTTTTTTTTCCACACTCGATTTAAAAAGAACAGCAAAACAATAAATCAAGGAGGAAGGAAAACAAATTTTTCTCCAGGAGCCTTTTGCTATGACTGCTACTACTGCACAGGATGACCCAAACCAACCCAGATCTACTTTGTCTGTGGTTACTAGTGGAAGGACATGCATGCTTCACATAGAATATGATGTACTGTTTGTCCAAGCAGCTCCTGAAAAGTGCTGCTTGCATTAAAAGTATTAAAGATTAGGAGGCTTAGTAGGTTTGAAATGCGTCTTGTAGCTTAGGAGAAATAAGTTTTCTCCAAAACTCAAGGAACCAGAAAAAGAAGCAGAATTCCTGTTATTGTTATTGTGCAGAAACACACAATGAAATTAAAGATGAAATGAAATTAACGATGTGCTGGACGAACCTTCTAGGATCTGCTTCCAACTGAATGCAGCTGATCTGCAGAGATCAGACAGAGTTGAAGTTGTGTATTTTGGAAATGATCATTCAACTGGTCCTAATTATTCTTCCAATTATAGTAAAAGTCTTTTTTCAATCAAATACGCTGATAATTTTTTTTCTTGAAAGGTGTTTTGACATAGTAGAGCTAGGCGATACGGCCAAAACTTCTACCAAAATACATTTCTACATTTCTGTGAAACAATAACATTTTA